ACACACACACACACACACACATACTTAAAAACACACACTTTTCACTGCCTCACAAGATAAGATAATAATATAATGATCTACGAGATGATTGTAAGTATCTCCCTCTTCCAACCACTTTGCAGGCCCCGTGAAGACTTACACAAACATACAACAGTACAAGTACAGGGATCAGGACAGCGTACTAGATCTACGTCTCTCTGCAATGAATGACCGCACTAAGCACATCAGTTATTGTGCGCTTTGCCCGCCCTTGGCGGTTCCTGAGTTATCGTTCTTATCAACCCAACTCGTAAACCTGGACATCTCGAGGTGAGGGGCGGACGTGCGGCGCGGGAGGAGGTGAAGAAATCTGGACAGGAGAGATCCCACGTATGTCGGAGCCAGCTTGTTTCCTGGATTTTTTCTTTATTATTATTAATTTGTTTAACCTGTTTATTTATTATAAGACGATTTTTATAGGTAGAAAAGCTTTTCAATTGTTTTAAGTCTAGAAAGTACATTTATTTTAAGAAAATGGAAAAATATGTCTGCAACTCTTTTATCAACTGTTCTCAGCCCCTTGAATTGCCTTTTCAACATCATTGAGGATTTCCACTTGATTTTTTTAGAATATGCAACCGAAATCACAGATTAAGAAAGTGCATTAAAATGTGTTTTTAAACAAATTGGCTTAGTAAGTCTACACCCAAACTGCTGATTTATGCACATATGGTCACTGTTCATTTAAAATCTAGACATCAAAAACCCTCTGAAATAATAAAGTTAAAGCACATTGTAAAAGGTTGTACTTTGGACAAAATAAGGACCAAACACGTTTCATGTCTACTATGAAACAACAACTTTTCTAGATATTGGGTGACAGTTGCCCTTCCGCTCACGTTCTGTGTAAAAGAAAGTCTTTGGGAAAAATAAGCAAAGTTAAGATTATATATTATTTTTGTTAAAAAGAAAAAAAAAGCATACAATACATGATTTTCTAAACTCTTTCAATTAATTTCAATCGTTTGTTGGGACATCGGTGTAGATTTTATTAAAAAGAAAAAAAATTAAAACAAAAAGAAAAACAAAACAAAACTCGAGAGATACTAACAGTCGTGACTTTATTCAGAGCTTAAGGGATGCTCAATCCATCTAAAAGCGAAAGTCGAGGGATACATAGAAATTAACCCACTATTTTCTTTCACAGATGTACAAACCTTGCAATTTCTGCGGAAAGAAGTCATGATGGCTCTCTTATATATAACTTCATGTTCTCAGTGTATGATAATATTAATTATACGTACGCAATAAGATGGGTTTTGGAGTGAGTACACGGGGGATGAAAAAGACAGAAAGACAGAGCTACATACCAGGAGAGAGAGAGAGAGAGAGAGAGAGAGAGAGAGAGAGAGAGAGAGAGAGAGAGAGAGATAGGGGGGAGGGGAGGGAAGGGGTGTAAAAGTTTTATTTTCAAGAATACCGAAATACATCGCCCAAGTCTTGTTTTCCACTATGAAAGCAGCACTAACAACAAAACCCTGGAAAGCAAACAAAAGACACAAGGAAACAAAGTGACAAAGAAAAAGTAATAAGAACGTACGACTTATGATGAACCAGGACAAAAAGAAATACAAAAACAAAAGAAGAAAAATTAAACACTTATTTTGTTTCATACCAAACTACAAAAGCATAATTTACTACATGTAAAAGCATTTATGGTGTAGTGGATAGGCGCTCCGCCCTTGCACACAAAAGACCTGAGTTGAATATCCGTGTGGGGAGAATTTTTATCGAGTATTCTGCAAGGGCGTTATATCCCTCTCAGCCCAGGTTAACCGTGACAGGCAGGGTCGAAGCAGCCTGTCTCCTAAATTACCTGTATAGTATCGAAGGTAGCGTAAAACTGCTACAAACAACAGGTATACACCGAGTACACTCAGCGAGAAGAGAAACCATCCGCCAAACAGCAAGTTTGTTGGCCAAACCTGGAAAACGTGCCTACGGAAATTTCCGCTCTTCGGTCGCATCTTTTTTTTCTGCGTTATTACAGTAATCCGGGGAGCCTCTCTCCGTGCACTGCCACTCTCCGTGTTGAATCTCTGCGTCAGTGAGTCAGGGGGCTCGAAACACAGACACTGTCTGATCTTTTTTTTTTCGCCGACATTCGAGGGGGAAAGAAAAACAGCGGAAAGAAACGGAAAAAGCACCTCAGACGAAAAAAACCAAAAGGCAACAGATTTCCACTGCTGAGTTTGTTTTGCTCTTTTTAGTGGGACGACGGACTCACAAAGATCAGTTTTACTCTTTTTCGTGCTGCGACACTCACTGAGTTCTGTGTGTGTTGTGTGTGTGTGCTCGTGTCGTGGGGAAAGACCGTCAGCTGTCCTGCCTTGACCACCTCGAGTCGATCAGTTTCACCCCCAAACTACCACAACATCAGCAATAATTATGAGGGAAATCGTGCACGTACAGGCTGGCCAATGCGGCAACCAGATCGGATCAAAGGTGAGTAAAAACTTTGCAAACTTTTCGTTCCTTAGCCTAATGTATTATTTTTCATTAGATAATCATAACCATTACGAAGTTATAAGAGCTCGTAAGGTTATTGTTGCTCTCGAAGTGGTTTTAAAGTAAACTCTCTTCTTGACAGTCTCAGTGATGTATTGATCAGGTTTTGTTGACACAAAAAAATGAGAATGCATTTATGAGAAAGTTAGCCAGTAGGCTAAAGCTCATAATTTATGCTGGGTAAGAGGAGACAAGGCACGCATTCTATAATAGGCTGTAAGCTGATGATAACATTAGATCTAGAATCTAGACTAGGTCTCTAGATTTATTCAGGACAATAATATAACTGCTACCTAGATCTATATTGTTTTCAAAGCCTACCTTGAACCTTTCCGCGGAAAAGTTGACATCAAGTTTTTACTTTCTCTTCTTGTTTTAACTTTAATTAGGCTACTGAATGGGGAAGTGGTTTTCCACGTAGTTTGAAAGCAGCACTTATTTATGCGATTTATGGAAGGCAGATGCATTATTATATATCATAACTTGTAGTTTTCTTGGTTTAATATATCTATCGACAGTAAAAGAGACTTGAGGCCGAGGCCTTGGATTTAGTACTAGATTCTAGATCTAGATCTTGAGCTAAGATTCACGTTTTCGTCTTTGCATGCTAAAATAATATTCTGCTCACTGTAGTTCCTGTTTATTATGTCCGTTTTTAAATCAACAAAACAATGTTATCCGCTGTCTGAACTGGCCGCCCAGGCTCATTATTTGTATAGCATTGTTGTGCCTGATTTTGTAACCCCCCCCC